CTACATGTGATGATATATGAAACGCACCTTTAGAGTTAATTGCACATAACAATGACCAATGTCATCACTTACTCACACATGAAATCTACCTCGACCAACCTGTGTGACAATCTCCTATTTGGGTGGTGAATTTTCGAACACTTCCTCGAAGTATAGAAGCAATCAAAGTCAAAATAGCAGTGTTAATGTCGGTGACGGTACCACGATAGAGAGAAGTGGTTCCCGCTCAATACTCTTTTCAGGCCGGCTAGCCTCTCACAGCAATTAAGATGAACTAGCTACCGATGGCCGAGAATGAAATGATAATGACTTCATTCACAAGAAACTCAATCAGGTTCGAAATGATCGCGTAAAATGGTGTTTGCCACTCAAGGGTATAATGTGCATGTCACTAATGCTTAATTCTACTCAACGTTGGGGGCCCCGTACTGCTTCTGCTAACACCGTGACGTCGCACTACTGCACCGTGACGTCGGGTAGGCGAGCGTTTCCACATCTCCAGATGTCACACAACAAAGTCGTGTCGCTGGATAACCGTCGTGTCCAACCAACTTGTCGCACGGTTACTCGGATGTCGCACAACCAGTGCTTTAAATTCTCAAAATTAATTGAACATTTTTGATGAAAATGAGAAAAGCAGCTATTCGCTATCAAATGGGACTTCCTTCGAATGGGTGATATCAGTTGCTTAATCATTTGACGAAGGCATGGATGTTTCTCATTTGAGAAACGCTTGATATCATTCAATTCAGTGTAACCTACACATAAACGGAGCTCTGGTCGACATTCCGGCGAAAAAGCTCAGCCAACCCGACACCAACCTGACTTCTACCAAACTCAACCCGACATAAACCCAAAATTGACCCGACAACAACACGACATTGGGTCGACATCGACCTTAAATTTGCCTTACATTGATCCGGGTAGACTTGTCTGTTCGGGACAATTTTGCTGGGTGTCTTCCATACTCCACTGTCGTATATCAATTGACAGTGACAACCCAAGCAACCAAAAGTTCCGCATTCAACACTTCCAAGTTCAACAAAGTTCAAATAAAGTTCCGACAGAACATTCAAGTTGCATAAAGTTCAAATAAAGTTCCGACAGAACTTTCAAGTACCATAAAGTTCAAATAAAGTTCCGACAGAATTTTCAAGCCACATGAAGCAATCCGCACAAATCTTTTTTTGTTACAAAATTTAATGTACGTAAATATGAAATAATCAGTGGCCCGAATAAATCATAATTCTTATATTTATGCAACATTCTATCCAAAAAAAAATAAAAAAATAAAAAATACTTTCTTGGATTCGAACCCGTGTATTCGGCATGCGATCTACGAACGCTAACCTCTGATGGAAGTGTGATGGAATACCATGCGGGCAAACACCAATTTAAATTCATCAAGGTGTTGTGTTTCGTATTCAAGTCAGTCAGCTGGCTCAGAAAACTCCAACAATAGGCGGGACAACAACTCACTTTAATATATTTCAGATGACGTAGTGGTGCGTACTGAGACTCTCACGCAGAAGGACTGGGTTTAATTCTTCCAACAGCTCCATTACTACTACTAATGCTGATAAATCAATACACATTAATACCTGCCTTTAGAAATAACTTTCATGAAAGTGTGAACTTAAATATAGAATTGGTGTAGAGGACAAAACCTCTTTTAATTTATTTTCTTAAAGTTCCGTTCAAGTTCCGCCAAAGGCTGCTTAGAATGCTCTTCAATTACCGGAACTTTCAAGTTCTTATAACGACTTAAAAATGAGGCTGCTTAGAATTCTATAGACCACCTTCAACCAAGGTGCTTAAGCCATAAATAGCCTTTTATTATAACTTTTGGTTACTTGGGAATGAGCTTCGAATGAGAAAGGGGCTCTTCAAATTATGGTCATGTGCGAATTCGTTTTCACAGAATTGATTGAATGGTTGTATTGGTTCATCTTCAATCGAATGATATGAAAATTAACAGCACTGCGCATAACTGCTCGGTCGCGATCGCAATGCACTATCGATGGTGTATCGCGATCACCAACAATACGTATCTTATCGCTCTCCTTGGTTCTTCTACACTCCTTGTCTCGGCAATCGTTGCTTCGCGACGGCTCCTCGGATACTTTGGCTAGCAAGAAGTGGTATGTAGTGCTCTTGTGATGATTGTAAGGAAGTACGTGGCTGTGTCCTACCGGAGGAATCCGGGTATGATGGCTGTCGTACAAATCAGCCGTTGGAGTTAATGCTACAATCAAAAGGCCCTCTAACGAGGCGACACACTCTGTTAGTGGATCCATCACGTCATCAGATGTTGTTGGTGATAGACTTTACCTGATGAAGGCCTTTTCTGATTTGCGTTTAATACGGAAAAGCTGTGTAAGCAACATTGTGGGGTCTCACTAGGCAAGTTCGGTTTACCTGGTGATGATGAATTGACCTCCTGTCGTTCGATTGAAATGACCCGAACGGAACACTCTTCCAACTACAGAGATGATGGCCTCAAGCTGTATGCAAAGAAACTGTATTGCGCATGTTAGCATTCAAACGTGTTTGCAACCTGGAATGCGTCATCCCTTGTTGGAAAGTTATTCCCGTTGATGTGTCCGTCTCTGGCTAATGTCCAAAGCCGAGCACTTTTACTGGTTTGGTATTTCGGCAATTATTAAATGTTGTACCACTACTTGATGAAGCCAACCACACTTTAGCTGTTCTTTTACCACAATGCCGAGCTAATGTCCCTTACGGATATTGTTTTTCGATGCAGATGAGCGAGATGTTGGGATCTATCTATTGTTTCTTATCGATTTTATTGATGACGCCGTGAGACGTCTGAACGTATAACGGATGCTGTATTCAAAATTGGTAGCGATTTACGGGATACACAGGAATACATTTGTTGGCGCATTTTGTCGGCATTATCTCAAAAAGTGTAACACCTGGAAGAAAACGCCCTAATCCTCACAGAACTAAAGGGCAGGGGTCTAGTAAACGTGTAGAATATCTGGACCGGTGGATAGCTCAGTGGATGGATCTTCCGAAATCTGCACAGCAGAAATAAACACTCCTTTTGACGTAGGATTACGTCTTTCGGCAACATATTGTGGGTGCAATTTCAAAAAATCAAAATCGACCGCGTTACGAAAAGTGGTCAGGTTTTGACTACCTATAACACTGTCAATAGTGGACGGATTCTAGTTCTAAACAAGCCAATTGATTAGAAATTTATCTACGAATCTGCTAAACTTGAACACTTAATCAATTTTTAATACGTCACTATTGAAAATTAAACAAATGTCCAACTGCTGCAATGGTGATCAAAATTATCATCGATTGCCTGCTAACAGCGCTTTCCCTGACACAGACGCCGAATATTGATACCGAGCACGTAATCCTACGTCAAATCTACGGGCGTGTCTTGACGAGTACAACTTCTTACTTTTTTACATTTAACACTATTCTTTTCTTGAAGAGGACTCGACCAATCATTACATTTATTTACACCTAACAAATTTCTTCTTCATACTAATTTTGGTCACGCAGGACCGTCTTCGACCTTGTACTACTTCTCACTGAAAATAATCTGCAACTACTCCTAAAACAAATCCTGAACATAAACAATCTGTGGTGAATTTATACACCATTTCCGACGAATCGTTCTCCCACGCTCACCATCTATTGGCTACCGAACCCATCGATTGCATCGATGACGTCAACGTAGGTGCTATCGAAAGGGAAAGTGATCTCCCTTGTTGATCTGACTGGCCATCGAACGATTGGCAAGGCAAAAGCCATGCAAAACAACAGTCTGCCGTACTGCTGCTGGTCGGTTGAGATGGTAAGGTTTAGGGTGGTTCTCACATACAAAATGTATTGCATATGTATCGTTATTTTCATGATTTGTTTTTTCGAATCAATTGGTTTGACGATAGCAACGGGATTCGTTGATCGCAAATTCAGGCGAAAATTGATAGTATGAGTGTATGAGTGAGTATGGCGTGGCTGATCGCTGAGTCGCTTTCAGTTATAATTATAGGTAGCTTGATAGAACAAACCAATCCTTACAGAAAAGCACCGCAATCATCTAGGACAATTTTTATAATGCGGCTTTACTTTATCGGTCATTCCTGATTATCCGTAGAATCATGATATTAATTACGTTTTCATCTCGTTATTCTGAAATATATATATATAAAAAAATCGCTAGGTTCTAGGACAATTTTTGTAATGTGGCCACTTTATCGGTCATTTCGGATCCTCCTTTGGGCCAGCAGAGGTTCCTTGAGGGCGTATTTGGTGTCGTTACACCGTATATACTTAGTACTACTAATTTTCAGTAATATACATAAAGTAACACTATGTCGATAGATAACGGCATTTCCTACTTTACCGGGAACTCGACTTGATCCCGGCCCTCTATCTCGGCAGAAAAAAAAGTCTCCGGCCAATGAGACCACCACCAATCGATTAAGCAGAGTTTTCGTTTAGTCGCGGTTTTGTCAATTTTTGCCCACTGTGCAAGGTACCAATAAAATAATTTCCACCAAGTTTTTACGATAAGGACGTCAAATATTTGAACAAAACGAAGGACCAACAATTTCTTGCAACACGCTTCCTTGTTGTCCCGTCCGCATCTTCCAGGAATTCTACCGAATCCGCCTGTTCTTCAACGTCAAACATTCAAATTAGAACGAAACCCGTTCTGCCGGCAAAAAGGGATCTTCCCAGAATGGTTCCGAAAACCGTCCTACGCGCCCTCGGAAAAAAGTTTTGCATTTTCCACGATATGATTATTTTAAAAATGTCACCGCTATTGCTGCTGATGCAGTGAGGGAAGGAGGGGGAGGGAAGGGGGGTATGTGTATCTTTTCTCCCTTCGCCGAAGCGCTCTCGCGTCGTCCTAGAGCTTTTGGGTGCCACCGCCGCTCGCTACTGGTTCCCGGAAGTACTTACAGCATAATAAGATTTTTCCTTTCTTTCCTTTTCTCGATTCGATTCCCCAGAATCAACAAAAATCGTATCATCAGCAGCAGCAGCAGCAGCAGCGCCATCCCCAGCAGCTACAAATGCGGCGTCGGCGACAGGAGCAACGACGGTGACGGCAACGACATCGTTGTCCTCCTCAACCTGCTGTCGGCAGCCGTTGCTGACGACGACAACGACGACGACAAGGACGATAGCACCACCAGCGCCAGCAGCGACGTCAACGTCGACGGCGGCGACGCTGCTCAGTTCGCTCACATCATCCGGCAAGAAGTCACGCGTGTGCAAGTGCTGTCGCAGCTCCAACTGTGCCAATCAGGCGAATAACAATAACAACAACAACAGTGGTAAAGGAAGTTCTGGCACAAATTCATCAACAACAACAACCGGAACCAAATCCAAGAAGGGCAACTGGGGTCTCAAGTTCAACTGTGCCAAACTGCGCGGTTCCAAGTCCAGCCAGGCTGCGGCTGCGGCGGCCACACCTTCGTCATCGACGACAGCATCGACAGCAGCAGCAGCAGCTTCGTCAGTGACGAGCCCCTCGTGTGCGAGTACTGTCTCGTTGGCGGCGACCAGTCCGTCATCGTCGATTATTGGTTCCTCCAGTAGACTTCTCAAGAGTGAATCAGAAAAGGTTAGTATTGAGATGCGTCCAAACTCACCTTAGTTAGATTTCTTTGTTTGTAATTGTTTAAATTAGGGTCGGGTGGGGGCAAGAGTACCATATGGGGCATGAGTTAAACTATGGATGGTGTTGCTATGCAGCATTATAGAAACCTCTGTTCGAAATGAAGTCCAAATATTGTTTCCTTCAATTCCTGGATTAAGGCATCATCACTAATAACGATTAATTGAAATATCAATATCAAAGAATAGGTTCATTGATCAAAAATCATCCACCCCCCTATATGAATAAAATTATACAAAAATGTCAAAGAAATTGCATAATTTGGCAAAACCAGCCACATAAAATATCATCAACAATAGTTTTCATTTGAATTCATTGGTAAACATAGTCAATTGGTTATGCATTGAATAATATTGTAAAATTAAATAGTTAAATCTAGTAAACAATAACAACTGCTGCTAGCATGATTAATAATCAAAAGGCTATGTTTATAAACAAAAAATTAATAGATATCACTCAATTTAAGACACATGGCCCTTATGCCCCATAGAGGGTGGCACTCTTGCCCCATTACAGTTAAAAAAAAAAAGATTTAAGATGACATTTTGAACAAACATCGTAAACAACTTTTGACGAGATTTAATTTGCATTACATTGCTGATGTATGAAGGCAATAAATGAACTTGCAATACGGTGTAGAAACTCCTATCCTCTATTTAGCATAAATAGAAGGTACAATTGTTAAGGTATCACTCTTGCCCCACCAGGCCTTACTTCTCTCTTTGGGCATTGTGATTGGCACGCAATAGGCTAAACGTTACCCTTAGGAATCCGGGAATGAGCATTTCAGGATTCAATCGTCACCAGAAAAAACCTGGAAAATGCTGGGATTTTAGAAAAATTAACAGGAAAATTGTCGTGAAACAAAATCCATGGTTGAGGGGGCATTTATTTTCAAACAATCCAAGTTTTCTAGTTTAGGCACTGCTCCTAGCCTCCCGTAGACACGTTTTGAGAGGTTTTAAACCTCCCGTCTCCCTGCACAGACAATCGTTCATACGAATTTTTGAAAATACTACAGGGTGGCCACGGAACCGGGAGCAGGCTCACAGGTCACAAGATTAAAAGGACAATTTGAATAATTCTCTCTAATTTACTTTAATTCCTCTCTATAATTATCCTTAAAATTAACTAAGTGTTGGCCATTCTGATTTAGCATTAAAGCGATAGTCCTTAGAACCGGAATTCGTGGCCCGTGGATAGAAGTACTTTTTTTCCAAACTCGTTGTGGGACGTATTTTGAACAATCCTGGTAATCATAAAAGTTTAAATTTAATCAAAAAAATAAACTCAAAATTTAAAGAACGCTGTTCTACACATAAATTTCATCGGAATTCCACAAGTTATAAATAAGTATCATTGTGCCTACAATACAATATAGAAATGCAAAAATGGTACAGCCTTAGAAACTCAGAAATTGTTGAGGGCTAAAGCAAGAAGTACGGGGAGAAAATCAGGACGACTAGGGGCGGCAGAGTCAGCTGATGAGTTGATTGTCGCTTTTACGGAGCGGAAATCTGTTGAAAGTACATTCGTGAAGTAAAAAAAAAAACATCACTTCACGGAGACGCATTTTCCGATATCCTGCTCCGGGCGAGAAGAAGATTACACCATCCGCTAATTAGTTGACTTTGCCCGGTCAATGTTCGGAATAAAGAAGCAACGCGGATACACTGTCCTTTTTGCGATATCGCTTCAATGTTGTCGATCAAGTGGAAGGAGCAAGAGTACGTTGCTTCTAAAGTTTTCCATCGTTACAATACCGAGAACTGGGGCGCTTGTTTGTAAAAAATGCCAATACATAGAACTGAAAGTTTCCCTACCTTTTCAGCGAAGGTTGAAAGAATTTTTTCGCGGGTGTTACGATGTGCCTGACGGCATTTGCGCTTGTTAGAGAACTTTCCATACATACAAAGCAAATTCTTACCATCTGTCGTTTCCATCTACTTACAGACGGATTCATGCATTTGCACCCTGTACCGCAAGGTGGAGGACCTACCGTCGACGGTATCTTCCAACAATGGTTACCCGCTTTCCACGAACCCGTTGATGATCCCTCACCAGCAGATACGCTACCAGCACCACCACCTGGACGGATCAACTTCGAACGGCCCTGGAGGAACCATCAGAGGAGGAGTAACCGCTGGTAATCAGCAGAACCATGGATTCATCTTTCCGTCGGTGGCCACAACGGCAGCCGGAGCAGCAGCTAGTCATCACGATCTACACACTCACCATCATCCGGGAACGGCCACCACCACGACCATCATCCATCGGATAGATGGATCGGCAGCGCAGGCACTGTGGGGAACTGCCACCGGTCACCCGGCTGGTAATTCCGTAATTGTGCTTTCTACGCCCGGAATGTTCGACATTTCCAGGTAGGTTTCAGTGCGCGAGAATGTGAAAATAAATTACAATTATACCGCGAAGTGCCTGATTCAGCGTTGGCGACTGTTGTTCGTCTGGTTGGGAAGGGACACACTTTCTCTGGAACTAACTTTCGGAGATGGAATGTTTCTACGAAGCTTTCCTGTCGACCAACAGCGACAACTACACTCTTCCCGGAAGTGTTCATTTGCGCAGTGTATCAAAGTTCGCCAACGAAATATCATCATCATAAATTTCAAGCGAACTCCCAATGTCACCTTGCTGCTTGCCCTCGGTAACAATTTCATCTATGTGCTTTCAGGTTCAACAGTAGCGATGATTTTTCACTTGAAGATTGCGATGAACGAGCTAGGCTTCAGCGCGAGCTGGAAATTCGCGAAGGCGTTGACGCTCCACCCAATTTCACTCCGCGAGGTTTGATGTCCGGAGGAACGTTGACCGGCGGAACAGCATTGGGGGCAGTTGGAAATGCCTCGGGTGGTGTAAATACGACTGCCGCTGGCAACCATCAGATTGCTTTCATGTGCACACCGGACTCGTCGTCTGCGCTCAGTTTGCTCCAGCGAGGATTACTGCTACCGAATAATCTGCTCCATGCTGAGGAAATGCCTCGGCTGCTCCATGCCGAGGAAATGCCTCGGGTGCACTCACAGGTGAGATTATTTCATTCTTAAACATTGGTCCTTGGGTTCACTATTAAAATAATACTTACGTCCAACGCAGGTCGATTTCATCCACTGCCTGGTGCCGGATCTGCAGAAAATTACCAGCTGCTGTTTCTACTGGGGCAAAATGGACCGGTACGAGGCGGAGAAGCTGCTGGAAGGCAAACCGGAGGGTACGTTCCTGCTACGCGACTCGGCCCAGGAGGAGTTCCTGTTTTCCGTTTCATTCCGAAAGTACAACCGTTCGTTGCATGCTCGCATCGAGCAGTTTAACCATAAGTTCAGGTGAGTTGAACATTATTTTTCCTTTGCAATTTGAAGGTTTTTATAAATTTAATTGAAATCAATTCAGTGACTGGGCACTCAGAAAAAAAATTGACTCATAACAATCGTATGATTTGCTAATTTAAAAAAAAGGTGTGCACACATTGCAGCTACCGCCAGTTCGATTCAAATAAGAGTCTGTGCATGAAACGTCGAAGATTGCTGAAGGTTCATGGGTCGTGCAAAAGAGTTTATGTTTGCAAGGAGTTTACAAATGAAGATTTTCAAATTTCACTAATATCGCTCGAACTTTGATTCTAGTTGTGCAAAAGCTGCCAAATTAGAATAAGTGGTTACAATGACATTGCCTGTATTTGTTAGTTTGGCCTGGATATCCAAAAAGATAGAAATGCACGAAAATAATAAAAATTGGGTTGATTGATAAATATGTAGCAGGTCACTATTTTCAAGTCAGTCATCAAAAAGTCACTAAAGTTCCTTAAAATTGAGTCACTAAAGTCACTTTTTTACGAGCAATGTTGAGAGTAAATAATATGACTTTAAAAACTCAGAGTAAAGTCTGACAAGAAGAGTTGTGAACATATGGAAACGTTAACTGTTTACGGAATCTAATATTTTGATTTTTTATCTTGAAATTGGCATAGACCTATCATAAATTTTCAAAGATTTCGAAAAAAGTTCTACACCCAGTATTCTGGCTATTTTACATTGAGATTTTTCTTGCTTTATTATAGCGATCTTGAAAGTTGCCCAAGCCTACACTGCAAAAAAAAAAGTTACGTAAAATTCACCTGAAAAGGCATGTAGATATTTTCCATCACACTTTTCAGGTGAATAATATGTATTTTGGGGGCAGAGATTACATTTGAGTGATTCACCTAGAAATCAATTGATTTTCAACCATTTACAAATTTAATCGGACTTTTCGATGATCTTCAAATTGGCATCACTTTAAAGTTGCAGGAATTAGCAAGTAAATGTTACTGGATTTAGTAATAATGATCAAATGAGTCTGACTATAGATATATATTTCGATTTATTTGAGTCATGAAATGATTGCATTCTAGGAAAAAATACTAATTTACATGATCTCGAAGTTGCAGTACATTAACCGTATAGTACCACCCTTATAGTTCGTCAATTGTTGATTCTTAGCACCTCGAACAATCCATTCCCGTATTCTGCCATTTCATTTTTAATTTATAAATGAGTGTGAGTTTACGCTTGAAAACATGAAGAATTCTGGTAATTCCAACTCGTCCAACAACGACGAAAGCGCACTTTCTTCTATCGTCATTTTTGAATTACAAATACGACAAGAAATTCAAGATAGAGCTGGAATTAGGCAGTAACAGCTTTTGTAAACAATGACTTCTTCCGATGATGTCTTGAAAGTCATGACTCGCGCAAATTAATCAAGACTTCCCCTACCCGACGGTAATGTTGGTTTGCTTGAGTGTGCCTTGAATTCCTAGAAATCATCGAGAGAAGTCACTGTTTACAAAAGCTGTTACGCCCTTACTCCAGCTCTATCTAGAATTGTTCATACCATGAAATCACGAAAAGCTTACTTGAATTTCACTTAACCTTCACCAGCATGACATGTGGACTGGTCCAGTGAATCCAGTGGAATTCATTACCATGTAATTGCATTTTATGTGCGGCACGTGAACCTTATTGAATTCCTATTTTGAAGAGGATACCTGCATTTCTGGTAAAAATTACCTTTCCCGTTGGTTCAATGTAAAAAAAAATGGCCTAGGAAGATTTTCAAGCTCTCGACATTTGTTCAAAAGCCCGAAATTCATATAATCTTTAACCCCCGGTAGCTTTAGTATTTGTCCTAACATCGAGAAAATAAATCATGTCACAGGTTCTTGAGTTCCTTTTTAAGGCCATTAAATTGTATTGTATTTTGTCCATACTAATATTCCGGTAATACTAAAACAAAAATTCAAAAAAAATCAAAGAACTCTAAAATGTATTCCTAAAACTCTAATTTTTTACGATTGAGATTTTAAGTCCCAGACGCATTCATTTTGTTTTATGTCCGTGATCACTCCATCTGGGCCATAATAATGAGATTTTTTCTTAAACTGTGATCTAGAAAAGTTGCCTAGATGCCAGAATTATGATTCTTTTCTATGTTTTGAGGTGTTACAGAAGATTCCATTCTTGGGAGGTTACAATGAACAGAATGATATTTTATTAATATACTCATGGCTAACTTAAATCTATATACATTTAATTCTAGACTGCAGTTCTTCATGATGTTAAATGCATCGCTTCATATATATCCTAGATCTTCAAAAACTGCTGTCCTAAAATTGTAAATTGTGTCTCAATTTCGCGATCTAATAACAAATTCGTGATCTGCAGAGTGAGGAAGTGGAGGTTAGAATTGGACCGTGGTTACTTTTTAATTGTTTAAAGGTCACTATTTGGTCACTATTTTCGTAATTTTAGTCACTAAAGTCACTACTATTACATCACATGCCCACTACGAGTCCTGTTAAAGTACTTCTTCTTCTAGGCTTTTTAAGCTTCCTTAGCGAGTGTTTTGCCGGCTCTCAACTTAGTGCTCTTGGTGTACTTTCACGTTTTTTAAAACACTTTGTTTGTTCCAAATTCAAAGATTCAATTTTGATCTTAAAACTGAAAAACAAAAAATAAATCTTATCTAAATATAAAGGGAATTAATCGTTGCAATTGAAGCAATATTTCACTTGACTTGACCTTGGAACTTCGTTCACTTTTCTGCAGTCTGCTGCAAATAACACGAAGACTTCTTCCTTTAGCGGAAATGCCTGTGTCATCAGCGAACAAAGATGTGTGGCAACCCTGAAGCAAATCAGGGAGGTTCAAAGTGAAAATGTTATACAATATAGACCCAAGAATGCTACCCTGAGGAACTCCTGCTCTAAGAGGTAGTCGTTCAGATTTGGAATTTTGATAATTTACCTGCAGAGTTCAGTTACATAATTTTGAACTAATTTCATAATATAGAGTGCAAAATTAAACAATCAAACCTTCATGCCAAATAATGTCGAATGCTTTTGCTATGTATAGAAGAGCAACTCCAGTTGTGCAGCGTTCAGATGTGTTTAAACGAATTAAATTGGTAGCTCTTAAGAGTGGATGAATAGTTGAACGCCCTTGGCGAAATCCAAACTGCTCATCTGCTAAAATTGAGTTCGTATTGATGTGAAGCATCATTCTATTCAAAATCATCTTTTCAAAAAGTTAACGTATTGAAGAAAGCTAACTTATTGGACGATAGCTAGAAGCTTCAGCTGGATTTTTATCCGCCCTGGAACAACTTTTGCATTTTTTTCATTTATCAGGAAAGTATGCTGTTAAATAATTTTACCTAGAAAGACAAGGTACTATCTGGGAGTTTCTCTGATGACTATATAGAAAATTCCGTCATCACCTAAAGCTTTCATATCTTGAAACTTTTTAGTTTTTTGTAGATCTTACTTCGTCCAAATCCGTCCCCCAGGAATCATCAAACATATTTTCCCGAGAGAAAATATTCAGAAAATCCCGAGCAACCTGATTCTCAATAGGACTAGTAAGACCCAAACTGCCCCGTAACGTGGGTAGATCACCTTTTCGTGGTACGTTACGGGATGTAAGATCTACCACCGATTCCTAGTCTTGACTACTTCAAACTAGGGGAACAGGATTTTTCAGTAATCAAAGGAACACATCTTAGTCCTTGTTACTTTTGTTGCCTTGTTGATAGTGATAGTTGATAGTTGATAGTTGAAACAAGGAAAAATGAGTTAGTTAGTCTTCATCTATGTGATTCCTAATCTTCTATTCGTTGTTCCGTAGTTTGAAGTGGTTAAGACTAGGGTTCTGATGCATGGTCATTAGAGTGATGCAAAATTTGAAATTTTCGCTCCACAATACTTAAACGATTCCAAATCGGATCTTGACTAACCTCTCAAAATTTGAACCCATTTGGTGAGAAACTGAGATGGCACAAACCATTTGAAGTTTGTATGGGAATTACTATGGTAAAACCAAGATTTTTGTTCATGTCTATCTAATAATTTACCATACCGGTCTGCTTCAAAAGTTTTCAACTGCACTTGTAGGAAATTTTCCCAGCTACAACTTTGATGAAGACCACTTTTTGATAAAATGCAAGGATCGAAAGTTATTAATGGTTCAATGCACTGATGTCTTATGATCATGCTCAATCAACTGCTCAGCAGGCAACATTGGTGTTTCTGGGGCGTTGAATAGGACACAAAAATTATGGCTACTATGTCACACTGCAAAATACAGTGTTGCCTACAGAGCAGCTGCTTGATCATGTCATAAGTTTACCAATCTCTTAAATAATTAATAACTATTTCCTTCTCGATTTACATAGAAATGATATTCAGCAAAGTTGTAGCTGAGAAAATTTTCTATAAGAATAGCTATCGAGTTGTTTTGCAGCTCAATATGGAAAAAGACTAGAAGGCAATGAACAAAAAGTTGAGATTTCCCTTAGTAATTTACATGTAAACTTCAAATGGTTTGTGCGAAGTCTGTTTCTAACCAAATGAGTTGTAACTTTTGGAGGCTAATCACGACCCGATTGGAAACCATTTAAGCACTGTGGAGCGAAAAAGTCAAATTTTGCATCAGTCTAATGGTCATTATCGGTGTCATAGCTTGTTTTTGTTGTTAAGGAATCCAATTTTGACTGACAAAGGGGCACGCCTTTGGAGGGTGTTCCAACACTCCGAAGGGTATGAATAGCGGGACCTTTCAATTAGAATCGATTCCTTGCGATGAAGACAAGAATAACAACTGTATCAATACCGAATACTTCATCATTTCTCAATAGTGATGGAGTAATACGACATGCAACTAAACAAAGGACACGGAACATACTACAATAGATCAAATTACAGGTCGCAGAGGTATTATGTCCCGAACAGAGGGGGAAAAAAGACCCAAACTGAAATTATGGGAACTCTCGAATTGCTTAGCAAGTTTCTGAGCTTTTTCCGAATTTTTGATCAACATTTTACCACCTTCTTTAAGCACTGGAATAGGCTTTCGAGGTTTTTTTAAAAAATGTTATGAGCTTTCAAAAGGGTTTAGAGCTCGGGTCTAATTTTGAAACATTCGAAAATCGCGTTGTAAATTGTTTTTGCAAATCCCGCCAGATAACTTTCATGGCAGGATCGCGTATTCTTTAATATTGCCGCCTACGGACATTTTTAAGACGGATCAAGAGCTGAAGATCATCGTCAATTATAATTGAATCGAATTTAACATCGCATTTTGGTACTGAGGCAGAGATTCAAGAGCTTAATTAACATCATCTTTGGTTTGCAAAGGAATGTTTAGATCGAAGTTATATTCCATAAATGTTCGATATTGCTCCCAATCAGCTCTATGCTAATTGAAAGTAGAGCTGTTGAGATTAGAAATTATTTCTTGGAATATTTCAAAACCTACTGGAAGGTGATCAGAACCGAAGTCAGCATGGGTAACCAGTTGGCTACAAAGTTGACATGAATCAGTTAAGACCAAATCAATAGTTGAGGGATTTCTTGCAAAGGAAAAGCATGTTGGGCTGCCACCCTTAAAACAATCTTTTGCTGGCCATTGGCGCATTGGAGTGGCAAAACGGCAACTAGAAACGTAAGTTGTCTAAATTTTGTTTCGACAGAAACTCCCAAAGTTTCAAAAACTTTGGTTTCAAATGAAGAAAGAAATTGATGTTTGATTCGTCTATGAACAGTGATGCTAATGAACAGTCTATGAACAGTGATGACGATGATTTCGATAAATGAAGGAATTTGTGTCCCTTTTAACCTTATGATCAGGTTTAAGGAACGTTTCAGTTACATATAACGGCGATATGCACATTATAAACTCTCAAAAAGATGAATAGCTCGGCTTCATTATCTTTAAGGTGATTCCTTGTAGAGTCCACAAATGGCCGCCACGAAGGCTATACATGCACTACCACTTCGAATTTTCAATTACACAAATTTCAGAAATTATTGCTACAATTGTATGTATGTATATATGTACAATCCAACTTCCACTGTCCGGCAGTGTTTTTTATGAAAGAAACATGTTTGCAATATAATCTTTTAGTATCTTATACTGATCCCATTGCAAACAACTTTAGCCCGGAAGTTGAAAGGTGATAGCTCTGTTGAGATTCAGTAACCCATTTCAGAATTCCCTCCTATTAAGCACAACCCGCACTTAGTCTTTCTTAATCTAGCGCAGTTTAGAACCAAACGGAATGTTATTATTATTATTTATCTTTATTAAGGAGGCTTTCAGCCTTGGGCTGGTTCGCCTCCAAACGGAATGTTATTATTACTGATGGCTTGTAAATTTATTTACCTCTCCGCACGCACCGTAAGATTTGATAAAAAGAAATCAATCGTTGAGATATTGTCAAAAATCTAACACTGCTTCTTGACGCCAAACTCGGCCTACGGATTCTAAACTCGGCCTGATGCATTGAAACGCCATTGAAATGCAAATGAATTCACTTCGGCCTATCGGATGAAGATAAAAATTAAATTGGTCGGAGCGCTTCTTTTGTTTTTGGGAATAATGGGTGCAAACATTTATATCACGCGTTCTCATTGACTTCGTTCGGTAACTTATTAACTAAAGTATCGTACCAAACGCATAATTGACATGTTAACTCTGAAATCATTGATTTATTTGAAGTTTTCTGCTCGATAGGCCCAAAATGGGCAATTAGGCCGAAGTAGTTCTCTACCCTAGTACCGATATAAAATGTATATTGGTACTGCGTGTACACTTCCATCATCAAAGCAATTCCTGCTTTGTAGATGGCACGTATTTTTAGTAGGATGCATTTCATATTTTTATATCTAGTTGTAATCAGTTAGATCTCACCACTTATGTATTGTGTCCTCGACGCGGGAGCATCGTAGTCTAACCTGCAACCAAATACGTAAAAAGACACGGCAAACGTTACTTCCGGGAGTGGAGGCGTAGCACCGAAACACGCTAGCAATACGCTACAGCAACACAACTATTCAAACAAAATTCTTGCCCGGGAATTTTCACAATAATTCATAATATTAAAACACTGATCATGATGAATCTATATACACATGATAATAATGAAAACGAATTACTTTTTGTCTTGGTACAAGCCAAAAAGCACGAGGAAAACACGGAATTTGTGACAGCCAAATTAAAACTGACCATTTGCGGGCAGAGCCTACTGCGCACTCTCTTATACAAATCTCAGAAATTAGTGCTACGATTCACCTGAAATTGCTACTTTATGTATGCTGCAGTGCAGCGAACGTGGAGTAACAGTTTCATTGTGGTGTGGTACGTGTCCTGGAAGTTGATATTTCTGCACTTGAATTTTCGAAGTGATTACTAGAATAAGGGTCTCACAGCAAAACACCTTAAGTAAGCATTTAAATTCAAAATATTTAATGATTTAAAACCCATTACTGAATTTCAAAGTCATGACGATATTATTCGCAAATTGAACTCTAATTTGAATAGCATCAAACATGAAGTAAGTTTTCAGCATATCAGTAATTATGTCGATTAATGATTTCTGTAAAAATCCATTTTAGGAGCAGTAATAGAATTTTGTTTTGGGTTTCTATCAGCTCCAATAGCAGCATAGGTAGTTCCATTTACTTGTCAAACATTATTAGCATTATGTATGGTTATGACTTTGAACCGGGTACGAATGTAGAATTTGTTGCTCGCTGACCGTTGTTAATGTGAGCAATCAAATCTGCTTTCTAATCAAACGCAGCGGATCGCAATTGTGAAAATGGTGAAAAGGAATGCGCCGGTCTGCCTTCCTACCAATCACCTCGACACGTTGCGACCGACGGGTACCGTCAACAATTCGGGCTAGGTACCTTACTAGGCTCGGTTCATTCACACATGAGGCATCTATTTGGACGCCATCGTCGTCGTCTTTCTGAGAAGGCAGCACTTGGGTCTCGTAGCCCTCGACTACGACTACGACTACGACTATGAAATAGCGCTCAACGCAGGGGCAAACAAATGACCATTGCGCGATAAACAAAATTATCATAAGCGTGCGCGCTTCTCCGTTTTCGATTGATTTCTATAAATAATATTTTAGCAGAGAAATTAGTACCTGTTCGGGAACGTGTAGCGTTTCCAATATGTCACTTAGAACGAGATTGTAGGATCGCTTGGGACTCTTACATACCCAACAATTTGATTTGTGGTTTTCACCACAATTTGAATATTCAAATTTCTTAGGATTCTTCCTTCACAGGACAGTCGTCCTTTGTGTGAGAGGAATCACCACAATTCATGCATTCCGCAGGCATGTGGCATTTTTTGTTCCGTGACCCCATCGCTGGCACTTACGGCACTGGGTGAGGTTTTGAAAATTTCCTCCAGTCTTGCTGATGTGTTCCCACTTAACTCGGGCATGGAGCATAAGGCTAGCTTTTTCTAAGACCTTAAGGTTGTTTAGTTCACTAGACTTGAAGTGAACTAAATAAAAATCACTGGAAATTCCTTTGCGCGAATTGTCAGGACAGGATTGCATTTTCAGTTTGATTACTAGGAGTGGCTCAACTCCAAGTAATTTTGTCAAGTCATCTTTGATCTGATCCACTGAGACAATTTGTGTGGCTTATTTTTTAATATAATGTCCAGTTGAATTTTCAGTTAATTTATCTTACACTTAGTGTTTTCACTGAAAGTTCGCCCTTGTGAATTCTTCCGTGAAAACACGAAGTGTGGCTCAACGGTGCGAAATGTTAATCATATTGAAAGTCAAACAGCAACTATTGTTCCGTTGTTACCTTAATCCTTTCCATTTAAATCTCCATTATAGTTTCGACTCTCGGGATCCCGGCGTCTACACGGCATCGACGGTGACCGGTTTGCTGGAGCATTACAAGGACCCGTCCTGTGTGATGTTCTTCGAGCCGATGCTAACCTACCCGCTGAACAGGAAGTTCGTCTTCTCACTGCAGCAGCTGTGCCGGGCGACGATCGTCAGCAATACAACGTACGACGGAATCAACGAACTGTGTCTGCCAAAATCACTCAAATCCTACCTGAAAGAGTACCATTACCGACAGCGGGTACGTTTCAGGCCGCTCGATGAACACCTCTATCATGACCTATAGTATACAAGATCGCAGAACAGCGGTGCGCGAATGCGTCGACACCAATCACGACGTTCGATGCGATTTCGACGGCCGAGGTTTCTTACTGGCGACATATTCAGCAGCGTGCGAAGCAGCAGCAGCAGCATCAACAGCAGCAACGTCAGCAACAGCAGCGACGAAGTGGATTACAATTGGCCAGATCCACCGGTATCCGCTGCTGGGCACCGGTATTCTCCGAGTAGGAGGTCAATAGATCGTATTGTCTATCGTATTCCAGAGATGAGACATGATGATCATCCTTCTGAATTGGCACAAGCTTTCTTCGTAATGTTGGAACGGGAACCTCATAGGCGACCGCTGCCGCAGACGAACCAAAGGACGAGGAAGCGACTATTTTGTTGCTTCGGAGGGTCCCCGTAAAGATGATCTAATGTCTTGTGCCGTACTACTGTCCTGTATCATAGTTGTGGTAGAATCTTCAAAGATTGTAAATAGCATTCTATTATTTCCAATAATAATTTATACCAATCGTTGTTATTTAAGTTATTTTCCCAAGAATCATAGATCATTTTCGCTGTAAAAAGTAAGTTCAATTTTCTTCCATCAAAGTGGAACAAAATCCGCTTTGCAATGCACACATATAGCAGATAAGGCAAAGCAAACTATTTCCTTCCTAGATTTTAGCGACTGACGTTAGTAGAGAGAAAAGCAAAAAGGAAAGTTGTTGTAGTCACAAAATAGAACGATCGGAAAAGGTAAAGTAAAGGTTTAGTAACGGAGAATAGAGAAGGATCATAGCAAAAAGGCATATAGAGCAAAGACTAGCAAATTATAAGCAAAATGTAGGATCACCTTATGTTGTTTTTGTTGATTACTTTTAGTTCGAATATTAATTAGACATTATTTTTGCTGTGAACAATATACCTATGATAATACTAAAAAATAAACCAGTTGGATTCATTCGAAGCAAAGGAAAACGGAAACTTACCTTACTGTTAACCATGAACGGACTCACACACTCTCTCCACTCAATCTCAATCTCCAGTTGCCACCAGATGGAAACATATAACGAAACCAGCTCCCCGGAAGTTCAACAATGAAACAATCCCAGTATTCGAAGCTTTCTTCGCTAAATATTACAAACAAACAAATGAAAAGCGTACAACTGTTAGAATTACAATAGTGCTAAAACAAACGATAACAACAAACCCATATCTAAAACGGTAACATACACAAAATCACAGTAATACAAATGGAAGCGTTCCCAGTGGTGGTCTCTTGTTGCAATGGAAATCTGAAATCAAAGAAACTCACTCACTTAAGTCTAGAAGGTAAATGATTAGAAATCCATAAATAACCAGTAGATCAGTGCAGAACACAACAGATACACATACATTCAATTGTGCTAGTGTGAGTGTCGAATCCAAACTTGATTGCATTTTACGTTAATAACAACAGAAAAAAAAAAAACAAATCAAAACATGAACACACGCCACGAATGGAAGGATGAATGAACAAGGTATGATGAAACACAAGCAGAAGTGAGACTCGGCATAGAAGAATAAGAGGAAGTTATAAACAAACGGTAATCAAATACTAAAGCAAGCAAATCACAGTTGAGAAAGAAATACGTTCTGGTAGCTTTAATTAACTAAAATTATACAAACGTAGAAGAAGAGAAGCATAATATAAAGAAAACACTACCCCCTAAAAGTGGTAGGATCGTTTAGAGAACAAGAAAACAGCAAGTGTATAAATGAAATAATAATAAAAATGTGTAATATAATATCAATGGTGAGTTGTCCGATGTATTCGAAATAGCCTGTGGTGTCTTACTTGAGAGTTAAATCCCGTTTGCGGTTCTGGATAAAATATTTTCAATGTTTGAATTGCCTAGATAGGGGAAATGGCTCTAATGTTGGTCTATGGATCTATGGGCCCATCGCTAAAAATCTTCTATTTATCAATTGTATCTAGTTCTAGATGAACGCGTCATTGGGACGGTACTAATGGATATTTTTTGTTGCTATTGAAAATTTAGTCGATTGCTGAATTTATGTATGGGCCCAAATTAGGGACACTTAGGCCGACATTACATACATTTCCCCTACATTCTAGATTTACAGACACTGATTGTTCATAGGATATTGGATCGGGAATTTTCTCAACAACCAATTTTCGACACGATTGGAGTGCAGCCACTTGGAAGTGATATATGTCCTTCCTTGTAGGATATCGGCCACGGTTAGGGCTCTGTTTGTGTCTCTTCTAGTCCGGAGAAGTTCTAGGTCGATAAGTTGACAACGGCTTTCGTAACTTGGTAATCGAAACGGATCATTCCAAGGCAATCTACGCAACGCAAAACGAAGAAAGCGACGTTGAACAGATTCAATTCTCTCGGGACCGTTGTTGTAGTTTGGGTTCCAAACCGCTGAACAATACTCAAGCGTCGATCGAACAAGCGAACAATAGAGAGATTTAAGACAGTAGATATCAGTGAAGTTTTTAGCTATCCTAAAAATGAACCCTAAAGTTCTTGACGCCTTATCAACAACATATGCAACGTGTTGCTTGAATGAAAGCTGCGAATACAAGATCACACCCAAGTCTTTCACCTGATTCACGCGTTCGATTGTCGAGCCAAGCAGGTCATAGCTAAATATTATCGGTTGTTGTTTTCGTGAGAACGTAATAGCGGAGCATTTGGCTGGGTTCACTACCATTCTGTTTAACCTGAACCAACTAGCGAATACATTCAGTTGACGTTGAAGAAAGTGACAGTCAGCAATGGAGCAGATTCGTAGGAAGATTTTGAGGTCATCTGCATATGATAACCGAGGAGCTTCGATGACCAGATGCACGTCGTTGAAGTACAGTATAAAAATTAACGGTCCCATGTGGCTTCCCTGAGGTATACCTGATGTGGCGAAGAAGCTAGTTGATCTGCAATCTCCTATGGCAACTTTTAGTTGCCGACCGGTAAGATATGATCGAAACCAACTCAGAAGATAACCGCATACACCGAGCCTGCCGAGTTTAGCAATCGCAATAGCATGGTTCAACTTGTCGAATGCTTCGGATAGATCTGAATAAATAACGTCTGTTTGAACCCGATCCGACATGCTTTCGGTTATAAACGATGTGAGACACAGCAGATTGGTGGTTGTAGAGCGGCCGACAGCAAACCCATGTTGATCAGCACTCAAATACTGCTAGCAACGGTTCCATAATCACTAGCTCGAATAGCTTCGAAACGGCACTTAACGATGTAATTCCTCGATAGTTATCCACAGCCCGTTTCCTTCCTTTTTTGTGGACGGGAAACATGTGCGCAAATTTCCAGCAAGATGGAAATATGCCACCTGAGAGAACAGGCGAAGAAGCGGAATTAACAAGCTAGCAATATGTCTCTTCAAAAATACAGATGGAACTCCATCAGGTCCAGGATTGAAGGATGACTTGAGCAGAGTCGCGGCCTTAGAAATCATTTCTGCATTAACATCAATTGCACCCAGCGTTTGATCGTTTACTGGAACGTTCCTGGCAGCCAGGTTAATATGGTCGTCAGTTAGTGTCTCATTAGTGAATACACTGGCAAACTTTTCGGAAAAAAGGTGGCATATATCCTGAACAGTGGCAGCAACTTCTCCGTTGAATTCCATAGACGATGGGAGGCTGGATTCCCTGCGTTGCTCGTTCACGTTGTTCCAAAAGGATTTCGGGTGTAGCAATGAAAAGCATTCACGACTGACTCGCTGATACATGTGATTCAGCCTCACATAATGTAGTTTCAGAGGAAGCGTGCGATGCTTCGAAAATCTTCTCAATGCTGCTCTCTTGATTGACTTCAACCTGCGTAGCTCTCTCGTCTGCCAGGGAGGGTGAGACACTTTGTGGTGAGTTCTTTTCGGGACGTGTCTGTCAATGACATATGCCAAGACATGTGAAAAGGTTTGCGCTGCAGCCTCAACGTCATCTGGATCAAGGATGTTCTCCCATACTATGCTAGACAATACATCTATGATGCTACGGTGGTCAGCTTTACGGAAGTCATAAGAAACCGTGGCAGTATAGTCGCCGAAATCACGCACGAGTTTGTCCTCAACAGTGACAATTAGAGGAGGGTGATGTGGAACTAGCTTAGTTAGTGCACAAGGAGTTGAGGAAATTGATGGAGCCCTGTCCTGTGTGCTCACGAAGCAGAGGTCCAAACTACGACCATTTTCGTTAACTACATGGTTAATTTGAGAAAGCGTCGCTGCGCTGTAGTTGTCGAGAAGGCTAATAGCTCCTGCGTGAAATGTGGAGCTATCAGGATCTGGATACAGGAATCCGCTATGAGATGGACTCCACGAAACGCCTGGCAGATTGAAGTCATCAAAAATGAATATCTCATCAACTGGAGTGGAACTTTTGACAACTGTGAAAACTGACCGACAGTGAGTATCGATGAGTTCATTGTCGCGAACTCGATCAGGTGGAATGTACAGAGCGCATAGAAATAGTGAGCGATCACCCAGATTGATGGCTGTCCAAACCTGCTCCACATTGTTCCATGAATCGTTCTCGATGGCCTTTGCCTCCAACCCGCTACGGACAGCTACAAGGACACCTCCACCAGTAGATTTACGGCTGTTGTTAGGATTCCGGTCGCAACGAAATACCTCGTAGTCAGGACCGAAGACTTGACTGGAAAGCGTTCGATAATCGAGCCACGTTTCGCACAGGACAATAATATCGTAGCAACGATCCGATACAGCTAGGCGGTACTCTTCAACATCAGAATTCATTCCACCGGCGTTTTGGTAGAAGATCACGACGCCGGTGGAATGACGATTGCCGAAAATATTGTCATGCCGAAGCCGTCATTTCCCCTAGATTCTTTGAAAAGTAGGCTGTTCTTTAACAATTTAAAATTTTATCTTGCAAAGAGCAGCCTATTTTTCAAAGAAGGTTGCATTTTCTAGAAGATCATACGATGATTGGTAATATTTTTGTTTATACATTTGTTTTATTCAAATTGTGTTTTCAAAACCTGTAGCCGGTAATGACAAGTAAGTCTAGTTATACAGAATTGTATGTTGAGATTTGCCAATGGGGCTCTGGGTACTTATTATGATTCCTATAAAAGAGGGTCTAGTATAAGAGAGGATCGGATTCACAACAAGCTGCCTTGCCAACCTATGCGGTGATTTTTAGAAGCACTGCTAATGCAATCAATATAGGTGCTGCTCGATTGGATCTGGCTTTTTTTGTGCTCTAAACCAGCCAGTTCACTCCACTCTCTCTACTTCCTATTGATCTTATTTTTGAATTTGAACGAATTAATCAACGTCTCACAGGAAATCGAATTCACTGATTGCGAGAAGCTGCACTCGAAAATAGAATTAATGGTTTTGTGACACCATTTCTCATCACGTGTTTGTTTCATTAGAATTGATCGACGGGGCTTAGCTGAATATGTTTGAACGAAGCGTAACATTCTGCACCATCGATGACCGATCGATTGAATTAATGGATGAAGCGATCGAGTTGAATGGTGCACATTTTAGGGGTACCGTAGAACGGGGAGAATTCGATCGCTTTTTACCGATAATCCTATAAATACCTCTCAAGCCTGCGCTAGCAAATGCTTTTATAAAGCACGAAATTAGCTATGAAATTGCATGATTGTTTTATATTCTTATAGTTAGGCCCTCATTTTTATGACAATGAATTCTAGGGTGGTTCCTATTATCATTAAAATCAAAAATCTAACTTTTTTGTTTGAATAAATTAAGGTATACATTCTTAGGCAAAGTTATAGCTGAGCTAATTTCAAGCAACTTTGTCGAAAAAACTTTTTTGTATCTCTTAAATTGGCTGATTTAGAGCTATTTTCTTGAATTGGATAGGGTGGCTCTTAAAAAAACAGTTGTTTTGCTCTAGTTTTCTTTTTTTTTCAAATTTCTCAGCAAAGGTGTCTTGAAATAACTTTTAGATCTTAAGAAGGCGCAAATTTTTGCTGCACAAAGCTTGTCAATATCTTTCACCGATCAAGAGTTATTGACGTTTTTATACTAAAAGTATGCACTTTTCAAATGTTAATATCTCTGGTTGGGGCATACAAAAAAAAAAGTTTTTTTTACGTATTTAATCAATTTGAATGTATTCATATTTTTTACTTTATTTGGGTAATTTTTTTTTATTACAAGAGATACAGGCAACAAATCGAGCTATAAAACATTCGTCTTAAAGAGTTTTAAAAGTCTCTAGAAGATGACTTGCAATGGAAGTTAGCTCAGAAGTTAGCATTTATATTTGATTTGTGTTCGCGGAAAAAGAATTTGGCGTTAAAATTTTAGCAAAAGTTGTGGATAAGTACTAAATTATGTTTATTTGTGTTGATTATGATAGTGCATTGATGTAACATTTTAATTGATTAGCCTTCCCGGCTATTCATCCTTGTTTAATTTGATATCCTAATTTAATATTTGCGTTTTCAACTAGTTTAAAGAATACCCATATTGGGGGGTGTGTGTTGTTTGAATTGAAAAAAAAGAGAAAACCTACCTAATTACGATTGTAACTTAACCTAACGTGCTAGATCACGTATGATCTGATGATTTGATTTAAGACAGGTGTCTCTGAACCTTTTCATGATGAATACTCTCCGTCCTTCTAATGTCTGAATTTTAGCCAGGAGGTGGATCTCAGAATTTCTAGTCCGCGGGGAACTCTTTAGGACCATCCTACACGCAGGCAAAAGAACGTAAGAATTACATAAGAAACACTTATGAATTTTAGCCACAA